CTGCTTGTGATCTCGTTTAAAGAAAGTGGGCATGGAACAAAAATTAGCCTCTATTTCTCTCCACGCCTTTTCCTTCCTTTGTATCGACCGAATATCATTTTGTTTCGACTCCAATACACCCTTAAATTCATCCACTACATCGATAAGGAATTCCTGTTCAAATACAGTAAGTTGGGTATCTTGGTATTCTGAGGCGACGACATATTATCTCACATCTTGAATAATCAATCAAATTATGATTTGTAATGGCCCTGATGCGTATTTATAGTAGTGACCCCACGGAAAAGGACGTGAGAAACATGACAAATTCTTGCTGTCCGTAAGTGTCCGATCAAAAAAAATGTATCAATCACTTTTTCTATTAACAAATATATTCGAAATTAAATTATAATTCTTTGAGTTATCGTTAGTTTTCCGTACATACACAGAGGTACTTAAACTTGGCAAAGATAAGTTTAAGTTGAAGCCATGCATACCGAAATGAATTGGTTACAAAGTCGAACTCAGTAGTGTATGAGCTTATATATTGGTCGCATGGGAATTCCCCATTCCATTTCATGGGGAAAATGCGACCAATATATAAGCTCCCAAAAAAGACCTAAACCCCATTCATTTCATAAATTCTTACACCTAAACATCCTACATTTCATAAATTCTTACACTAAAAATTACCCCTCATTTCATAAATTCTTACACTAAAAAATACCCCTCATTTCATAAATTCTTTCACTAAAAAAAGACCTAAACTCCCTATAAATACTTACACCCTAAACTCCCTACATTTCATTCACCAAAAACAACTTCAATCAATTTCCTACATTCCATCAAAAAAAAAAAGCATATTAAAAATACCCTTATATAAAAATAACATAACATTTTTTAATAGCCTCGTTATTTTTAGTCTAGAAACTTCTAGAAAAAAGGGAGATGACTCTTTTTTGGAAACACAATTTCTTCGTTAAATTAACTCATTTAAAAACAGGATGAGTTTAATTCTAAAACACGAACAACACAGATTCACGATTATTCGGGCGACGGTATTAGCGTATGAAATTCATAAAGAATTTAGAAAAACTAAAAACTTTTTAAAAGTTAAAGTGTTTGAGAAAGATGAAATATGGTCAGCCGATTTAATTCATAATGCCAGTCGAAAGAGGATTTAAATATTGCTTAAAAGTTATAGATTTGTATACGAGATATGCTTGGGTTATTCCTTTGAAAAACAAAACGGGATTATCAGTCAAACACGCATTTGAAACGATTATGAAACAATCTAACCGACATCCAGAAAAACTGTGGTAGATAAAGGAAGTGAATTTTATAACAAAAATATGAAATCTCTGGGATTTGAAATTTACAGTACGCATAATGAAGGTAAAGCTGTAGTTATTGAGGGATATAATAGAACTCTAAAAAATAAATTATTCAAAAAGTTCACGGAATTGAAATCTCAAAAATGGCTTAAAATATTACCAGAGGTTGTAGATGAATACAATAACAAAATTCATTCATCTATAGGTGTTACACCAACACAAGCCTCGAGTAATCCAAATATTATAAAGTCAATTAACGCGCAACATAACTACGAAAATGAAATAAAGAATTTAGATATTAAACCCAAATTTAAAGTCGGAGATCGAGTTCGTATTTTCAAATATAAAAGCAAATTCGAAAAAGGTTACGTTGGATACTGGACAAACGAAATATTCATCGTTGATAAAGTAAACACCACATCACCTCCGACATATGAATTAATCAATCAAGATAAAGAACAAATCATAGTCAGGTTTTATCAAAACGAACTTCAAAAAACCGACTTTTAGAAATGAATGATTTTCTCGATAAATATGGAAGCGATACAACCACTTTCAACTTATGAGATGAGTGAATGAGTTAAATATATCACCGTTTTATTATTGTATGAGAGATGAAATAAATGATCTGAAATATAAGAAAGGTAAATTTTACGCTATAACAAATATACATACTTCCGATCAAAAAGGAGTTCATCATTCTGCTTTGTACAAAGACTCTTCAAATGACTTATATTTCTTCGATTCTTATGGATTAGAACCCACTGAAGAGATAATCCAATTGACTAATAAACCAATCAAACATTTCAAATTCAATTACCGGGACAAAAGTTTTGTGGTCAGCTTTCACTTTGGGTTTTATATCAGTTAAGTTTAGGAAAACAATTCGAAGAAATTGTAATAAATTTAACTCAAGAAAAATGGCGAACAAGTTTGGATTAGGTTCTTTATCTTTAGGAACTAAAAAACCTAACACTACAGCATGGATAAATAAAACAAAACCTTACTTTGTGGATCAAATCGGTGACACTCTTCAAGGTGATTTAGATATGAACAATTTCAAAGTAACTAATTCAAAGTCTCCGGAAAACGATAATGACACCGTTCACAAGAAATATTTACGGGAACAAATAAATTCAA